TTTCTGTACAAGATTCATTCTATTTACAACAGCTGCAAAAAGATATGACCATTAATGTATTGCGATCTAATAAAACCTGGGGATCGTATAGACATTTAAGATTACCACAACCGGAAGTTAAACCTGTATCTAGCGCTCATGTCTGCCAAACGGTACGTTCTTCTTAAAACATATCAATATAATCTATTATTTTGTCAACAATATTTTCGTAACAACTAATTGTAAGATGAGAAAACGCCAACACTGCCAAAGCGAATCTTAGAGTTTTAATAACATTTACATGTAAATTTTATCATTTTTAGTTCAAATAAACCGCTCGCCAAATGTTTGTTGATCTTAAAACACTAAACTCGTCTAAACTGAATCCAGAATAATATCACAATTAAATTAACAAAGTAATTTAATACTTTAGTGCTAATAAGCATCTTTTAAATCCTGTAAAATAACTTATTGCAAAAAACAATACTTCAACCAGCATAATATAATATTTTTCGCAATGAGTATTTTTTAATTATTATTTAAAAAGTAGAGTATTTTTAAATTATTATTTAAAAATACATTTATTTAATATTCTAGTTAAATACAAGTATTTAAATAATTTAAATATTTTATAAAATTAAAAGATGCTTCTTAACATTAAATTATTTGATTATTCAACATCATTAAGCAAATATTTCCGACTATTGTATATAAACATATTGGAAATTTTCGAGATAATAGTTTTGAACAATTGACAATGCGGCAAACGAAAAGTCATGGCATCAACATAGTATTAAATTCATTGGCAGAAGAAAAGTTTAGTTGTGATGTTATATACAATTTCAGTTTAAAGCTGTTCTTTAAGACAGATATAAATATTTGGCTCGCGATTTACTTGAACTGAAAATTATAAGATTTATAAATATTATTAAAACATCAAGATCTGCTTTGACCTTGTTGACGTTTCTTCATTTTGAAACATTCCATAATCGATTTATGTTTAAGTATTATGTGTTTTAAATTTTATTATAATATTTCTATTAAAATTTAATTTTACATGTGTTATGTCATACAAAGTTATTGTTTTTTTTATAGATTCGTGGTGATCTAAGCACATTTCGTTGGATAGAAAACAATCGATGCGTCGAATGTCCACATGAAGATTTAGTATATGTGGTTTATTCATCACTCAATTTCAAAGATGTAATGCTTGCGACTGGCAAATTAGTATTTAATCACTTGATTTCGCAAGGGCGGATGTTTCAATACATACCTTTTGGAATG